TCTGCAGAATTTTCTACAACTAGGATTTGGGAGCGCAAGGGCAATGGCTGATGCAGGGCTTTTTATGCAACATCAGAATATGGGGAAATAGCTCCGTTTTGCTGGAGCTAAAGCTATAGGGCCCCTTAAGTAAATTCACCTGGCTTCCACTACCCCTAGTAGATCATTCCAGTGTTGTGTTGCTGGCTATAACGAGCTTGTGAAAGAACTGGACCAGTCCAGTTTGGAAAAACTACGTCATCAAAGAGCTTTTCCATTCAAACCTTCGTGATCTCAAAAGGCAGAGGTGGAAGAAGGATTTTGGGGTACCTGAGTGGCTCAGTCATTAAGCGTCTGCCTTTGGCTCAGGTCATGATCCCAGGGTCCTGGGATCAAGCCCCCCAGGCTCCCTGATCAGCAGGGAGTCTGCTTCTCCCTCGCCCTCTGCCCCTCCCCTACTCATGTGCTTTCTCTCTCTCTCAAATAAATAAAATCTTTAATAAAAAATAAGAAACATAATTTCAATCACAGTATCTATTGCAGAGTACATGCACAGTGACTGTACATTATCTTAATATAACACAAAAGATCCTTCCGTCCCCCAAATTTTATGGCATCATTAGAGGTACAGAGAAGACATGGAGAAAAGCATGGAGGTGGTCAGCCTCCTGGAAGAGATTTTTTCTTTTTGGTGCAAAGGCACATAGCTGAGAGCAAACAAAATGGATTGGGGTGGGGAGGGGTGAAGAGTGGGGAGGGAGGCGTGGCCAGGGCAAGAAAGTGTGTTTTCCCAAAGGGAAAAGTCCACAGTGGGAGGAGAACTTCGGTTTTCTGAGAAGTGAGGAGCTGCTGAATTAGTGTCCAGTTTACAGCGTTGGTGGGAGCTCTGCCCTTTCTCCGTGCCCGATCAGTCGACACCTTCCCAGGCCCTGGGGGGGGTTTAACCGATCTTCTAACACATACTGACTGATGACTCCTCACCCCCTTGGGCATCAGACAGATGTGTAAAAAGTAATGTCTTGTTTTGGCTTCAGTGTCCCAGGTATGGTTGCACATGTTAAAAAAAAAAATTTCAACCAAGTGATTTTGAAGATCTGACTGGCTTTATTAAATGGTGATTCATGAATCAGGCAGCACCCCGTGTAGCAAGTGGGGGGGGCCCTCCAAGAAGCTGTACAAAATGTAAGGTTTTTATAGGAAGGAGAGCGAGATAAGAGAGTTATTAGCCGGAGATTGTTTCGGGCAAGATGACCTTTCCTTAAGGGGATGGGCAGGGGGTCTTATTATGCAGATTACTTCATCGACCTCTGGGGGGTGGGGGTGGAGGAGGCCCTTGTGACAGTTGACCTCACTGATGCTTGTCAGAAAATTCCTGACTGATCAGTTAAGACTACATTTGTAGGGGAGGTTGAAACTGCAGTTAGATCAGGTAGGAAGCCCCAGTTTCCTGACTTGGTCTGGCCCAAGTGACATTCTGGGCCTAGGACATTTTTTGCTTTCCGCTTTGCATTGTTACCATCTGGTCACATATGGTCTCCTCTGGACTATAAAGTCCCTGAGGGCAGGAACATGTATTAGAGGGTGATCATGCTGCCCTAGTACTCTGGTAGGCGGCCTCTTCTGACCAGCTCCAGTGAGAGGAAGCAGCCTTCTTTTGGCCTGTACCTGACCCTCTGGGTACACTCAATCCAAGTGATGTGGGAAGCAAAGCCAGAAGAAGAAAAATTATTAAATGTCCTTACTACCTACAGCCCACTGACAAGTCCTTGAAACAGGCCAGGTGACATTCCTCCAGGAACTCGGCTGTCTCCATGTTAATACTTTGCTAAGGGCAAAAGGCATTCTTAGCCCGACCCCCAGGATCCTAAGCTTACTTTAACATAAAAATTCCTTTGGAAATTTCCTTTATCTCTACCCCCCAAGATACGTGTTAGCAATCCTCCCCCAAGCATATGACCCACCGATATACATCGGACGGGTCTCATGATTCAGGTTTTATTAGACAGTAATGAATGACCTTTTCCCAACAATAGCTAGCCCCCCTCAAGGTCCTGGAAAACTTGCTCCCAAAATTCCTTAGAGACTTAACACTATCCCGAACCCCCTCCCAACTTGGAAGTTGGGATATAATCAGCCACTCCTCGCGACCCCGGCGCAGCTTCCTCTGCCCACGGGTCCCGTCCCCGTGCTTTAAGAAAACCACCGTTTTGCACCAAAGATGTCTCAAGAATTCTTTCTTGGCCGTCGGCTTCAAACCCTAGTATCTTTCCTACATCAAGAAGGAAAGGGCTGATGTGCTTTGGAGTAGGGTTCGTGAGCCAAGAAAGAGTTCGTGAGCCAAGAAAGAGTTCGTGAGACGTTTTTGGTGCAAAAAAAGGTGGTTTTATTAAAGCACAGGGGCAGGACAGTTGATTATATACTTGGGAGTTGGGGGAGGTTGAAGACCAGGGAAGTTTCCAAAAGGACTTTCATATGCAAAGAAGACTCACAGGATCCTGGAGGCCTGGCTATTGTCAAGCTCAGGTTGTTCTTCCCTCCAGCAAGGCATTAAGATTAAGACAGTTGGGAGTTCCTGGAACAATGTCCTCCTCTGCCTGTCGCAGTATTTGTCAACGGGCTGCAGGTTGTAAGGAAATTTAATTTTATCTGTATTTATCTTGCCTTTGTTCTCCACATCCTAGCCAGGGCGCAAGGGTGCGAGAGGGGTCCCAAACAGACCAGGTTCGGCCACCTGCCCTTGACAAAATCCGAAGGCAGAGAGATGAGTGGTAGTGACACGAGAAAGGAGTTTATGTCAGTGGGGCCAACCCCGGGAGGACAGCGCACTAGCGTCTCAAAGACAGTCTCCAAAGTGCCGAAAAGACTTCCAGGTTTATGCGAGGAAAATGTGGGGCAAAGGTCGGTGGGTGCGTGCAGGTGGGCAGTAGACAGTCAGGTCGTCACTGTCATGGGTGGGGACTTGCCCGCCCAGGGCAGCCCTTACTGCTCGAGGGGGCAGTTTCGTTCCCGGCAGGGGAGGCCTTCCCCACAGGGTCTTTTGCCCGAGGTCAGCCGGAAGGAAGATCTTAATCGGAAAGTTTGAGGTCAAAGTGAAGGTGGTTGACGTCCTCTTTCAGCTCCAAGTTCCCGCCCCAGGGTCACAGCATTCGGCCCTCCACACTGTGCTCTTCTCAACTCCAGCAGCAGCCTTTTCAGGCGTGTGGTGAAGGGGTGGATCCGTGGACCGAGTCACCCAGCCTTTAATCTATGCAGGATTCCAGGGGCCCCAGGGGCCATTCTTGGAGAGTGCTCATTTTCAGGTGGTTCCTCATTCCAAACCAAAATCTGTCCCCACCCCCAACCCACAGTGGTTCACACCCCGGTCCTGGTCCTGCCTTCTGGGGCCCTCCCTCCACCAAAGCCTAACATCCTGTTTCAGCAAATGTGGAACTATGAGACCCCACTCAGGCCTCGTGGGTTCCAACCCGGCTAAGAGGTGTCTGTTCTTCTGAAGACTGATTCTTTGTCCTACGCCTGCCACTGGGATGGAGGTGATGTGGTTCTGGAATACAGGTGAGTTTCGGTGGGGTGAGGTCCGGAGCCCACCACCAAGACTTCTTGAGACATCTTTGGTGCGAAATGGTGCTTTTATTAAAGCACAGGAACTTGACCCAGGGCAGAAAGAGCGGCTGCGGGGTCCTGAGCAGTGGCTGGTTATATATATCCTCAGGAGTTGGGGGAGGCAAGGAAAAGGGAGGTTTCAAAAGAACTTTCATATGCTAAAGAGGACCTACATACAAGATAATGAAGCCTGGCCACTGTCAAGTTAAGGTTGTTTTCCCCTCTAGCAAGGTATTAACATTAAGATAGTTGGGAGATTCCCTGGAAGATGTCACACGTGTCCCACCCAGGAGTGGGGGGAGGTTGCATGGTGTCAGCTTGTGCTTTGTCTGCAGCTAGCCTGCCACACACACTGCCACACACACGCACGCACTCACACTCACACACACGGCAGGCCCTGCCCTATGTGCGCGCCTTTTTCTACTTCTGCTGCCCGCCCAGAGCCAGGCTCCCAGCCTGAGACGCAAGGGCAGAGTGCAAGGAGAGCAGTCAGGAAATCAGAGAAAAGCTTGTGCATTCCTGCTTCCTTCTCAGCAAGTTTCCCAAGCAATGGGGCGACTCAGGCTGCTGGTGGCTGGGAAATCAGGACACAAACATCTCTGCTGCAAGGGTTCCCTGAGAGCTGCCTTTTAAGGAAAAAGCCCCCCAAGCTTCTTGAAAGCCCTTCACCATCCCAGCAGGGTTTACCCTCTGCAGAGCATATTCTTCCCCCTGGGACCTGTTCTGTCCAGGTATGGAATAAGATAAGAGTTTCCCCAGAACAGGCGAGAAGGACACGAGCCCCCGTCATCTTCCAGAAGAGCCATGGACACATCGCCTCCTGGAAGCCAGCAGCACACCTGCCCCTCCCCTTTGAGATCGGCTACCTCTGTCCAGCAAGGAACCATGACGCTCAGCTGTTTCACTACCCGGGTTTGGGGGCAAATGGAGGTGACCCGCTGGGCGTGGGAAGGGCACCTTCCCCTGAATGAGAACTGAGGCATCAGGGACTGAACAGAGAACAGGAAGGACCAGAACCGGATCGGTGCAGGCCCTGGACAGGTCCCCCGGGACAGAAGGCCTGTGGAGTGCGCTCAGTGGGCGGCGAAGGAGAGAAGTGGTTCGCCTGTCCCAGCGGTAGCAAACTGTTGCGAGGGAAGTGTGAGTGACAGCTGGGAAGGCTGCAGAGGCGCAGGAGGTGGAGGGCAGGGAAGGCCAGGCAGATAAGGCTCTGGGTTCTCTCCCCTTTGGAGCCGCAGCCAGAGAAACAGCACCACCAGTTGCATAATCCTTCTATTTGCCCAGAGCCACATTTTGTCCCGAAGCTTGCTGCCCTGGGAGGGGACTGAAGAAGACACCTAGCAAAGACTGGGCAGGGAAGGGAGTCAGCGGAGAACAAGAGGTGTGCGGGGTCCCCTGGCCTTCGGCGGCCACACAGGAAGATGGAGACCCACAATGTGACTGCCCCACTCAACTTCACCCTCCCACCCAACTTCGGCAAGCGCCCCACCGACAAGGCACTGAGCGTCACCCTGGTGTTCTTGCTGCTCATTATCATGCTCTCGCTGGGCTGCACCATGGAATTTGGCAAGATCAAGGCTCACTTCTGGAAGCCCAAGGGGCTGGCCATCGCCCTGATCGCGCAGTACGGCATCATGCCCCTCACTGCCTTCATTCTGGGCAAGGTCTTCCAGCTAAACAACATTGAGGCACTGGCCATCCTCGTCTGTGGCTGCTCCCCAGGCGGTACCCTGTCCAACATCTTCAGTCTGGCCGTGAAGGGGGACATGAACCTCAGGTAGGACTGGAGGTGAGGAGGGAGCCTCCTGGGGATGGAAGCTGCACTGGAGATGTCACAGTCTCTGGAAAGAGCAGGGCCAAAGTCAGGATAAGGAGTGCGTGGGGGCCAGGTGGATACTAGGGCTGGGGGTGGCGGGCATTGCGACCAGAGCTTATGCTGGGCTGGAGACAGGAGTTGGGGTACATCTTGGTTTAAGCACCAAGTCAAAGGGGCCCAGCTGGTCCAGAGGCCTCTTGAAAACCCCCTTTCTTCCAGAGGTGTCTCAGATGGGCCACAAGAACTGACCTGAAGGAGTACTATTTAAACCCGAGAGGCCTCTGGGGAACTCTGCCCCCTTACCGTGGTAGGCAAGTTGTCTGCTTTGAGGCCAGAGATCTGAAAGGGAGTGCACAGGGGTTCCAGACTTCTTCAGGGAGATCAAGGTGGCTTAGAACCAGAGACCCTTCCAATCCCTGTAGAACAGGCAAGACTTTTCAAAGATCCTTCCAGGTATCCAGGCGTATGGGATGGCTTCTCTTAACTTCCCCCATGGGCCCGTCAGACACAGGAACACATCCATGCAAAGACATAACCAGGCAGATTCTACAGTTTCCCAGTACTGGCACAGGCCATGTTGGGCTGCATGCACCTCAGCCAAACTGGTAGGGGTAAAACCCCTCACCCAAAGCATCACAGCAGAAATCAGGGCTTGCTTCTGTAGGGGCCGGCTGAACACCTGTCCTTCCAAACACTTGGGACTCTCACCTAGAACGCCCACCACAGTGAGGCCATTTCAGACCTGCTCCAGCCTCAGCAGCAGCTCACTCTGGCTGAGAGAAAATCACCAGCAAAAGCCCTTGCCTCTCTGTGGACTTCCGTCTCCAGCCTGCCCCCTCCGAGGTTCAGTCCCCAGGGGAGACCCCATTCCATGCCAGGCAGGGCAGTGGGTTCAGACAGTGCGGCTGCTTGTGCTGGCTGGCACCCTGCCACACACTGCTAAGCACACCAGCCAAGTAAGGTGATGCGGAGTAAGGCCACCGATCTTTAAATGAAAGACCAAGAGTGAGTGGGTCTTCAATGGGACCCACCTTCTGAGCTCCGGACTCTCTACCCATGTGACTCAGCCCTCACTGAGGTAGTTGATGGGAAGACAGGCACAAAAACGGGGTTTAGCTTGTACAGTCTCCCATGGGAACATGTTCAATGTTCAGCTACCTGTGAGGAAATTCTTCCCTCTATCTGATCCAAATCCTTCCTGCTGCAAAGCAAGCCCTCCGTCTTCAATCTGCCCTGTGGACAAGGCTCACTGCAGCCTCTGTGTCCTGAGAAACCCGGACTGTAGCTTCATTCCAGTGTAGAAGGGGTGTTTGTAAGTGTGAGTGACCAGGTGTCCCTGCCTCATCAGCCCGTGGGTGCCGGTGAGGTGCCTGCAGCATGCCTGCCTCTGCCAGGTTTAAGCACACCACCAGCCCAGCCTCCAGCCACTGAGGAACACGAGCCCTCATGCTCTCCTGCTCAGCCTCCTTGCCTGGGCTTCTGGGGACGCTCACTTCTACGAAGACCCCACAGAGAAAATGCTGGGATGCCCACCTTTTGCCATAAAGGCCCTTCGCACAGACAAGCCTCCACGCACATTAACCCATGCCTCAGACCCCAGCAGCAGAGCATGTATCTCTTCATCTCCCATCACAGGCTGCCAGACTTTAACTTACAATTGGAGTTCATCTGGGACAACTCTTTACATGTATTATGATGAAATGATACTGATAATACAAAACACACAAAAGCCAGGGCGCCTGGGTGGCTCAGATGGTTAAGCGTCTGCCTTCGGCTCAGGTCATGATCCCAGGGTCCTGGGATCGAGTCCCGCATCGGGCTCCCTGCTCCTTGGGAGCCTGCTTCTCCCTCTGCCTCTCTCTCTCTCTCTCTCTCTCTCTCTCTCTCTCTCTCTCTCTGTCTCTCATGAATAAATAAATAAATCAATCAATCTTTAAAAAAAAAAAAACAAAAAACCAAACATACAAAAGCCAAGCCCTGCAGCAAGCACCTCACGTGAAATCCTCATACAGCCTCCTGGGAGGAGGTGCTGTGCAGAGTCCCATTTTAAAGATGAGGAAACTGAGCCACAGAGAAGCTAATACATCTGTCCAAGGTCTGGGAGGTTCCAAATCCTGTCCTTTCACTCAGATACCTCCAGGGCCAGGCATGAATATAAAGGAACAAAGTGGCTGGAGGTGGCCCGCCAGCCGTGGGGCACAGGCCCCCTGAGCAGGGCGGATGCCACGGGTCTCTGCCGTGGGTGTTCTGTGGGAGCGTGGAGCCACCGCCGCCCGCTTCCTACTTTTCAAGAGAAGGTAGAATCTCCCTTTTTACATGAAAACTCCAAAGTTTTCAATATTAGCCACTCATTAATATTTTTTTTTTTTTAAGCCCTGTGCAAGCCAAACGGAGTATGTGCTGGGCCAGCTGCAGCTCAGAGGCTACCAGTCAGGACCTCTCTTTAAGCACAACACTAGACGATTTCCCATGTAGAGTTGGGGCGAATCTGACGACCCCGATTCCGTTTTATAGATGAGGAGAGCTGAAGTCCAGAGACTTGCCAGAGGTTTCCCAGAATTTGCGGGAAAGTCACATCTGGAGCCAGTCCCAGGCTCTCCTGCGGGTATTGCTCCTCACAGCTGGGGTGAGTCTGCGGCAGCTGCCATCACAGGCCGGAGGCCACCTTCCGGGAGGCTGAGCTGCCCATAGGGCAGCCACGGCAGCTCCTTCCTCGAGGGTGCCACCACACACCAGCTCCCAAAAATGCAGGTGGCCCACAGGCAAGGGAAAATGCCCTCAAAGTTGAAGTGAGCTTGGCTATTCAGAGACAGAGGGGAGTGCCAGAGGGCCATGAGCTCTTCTGACCACCTTTGCTGCCCCTCACGTTCAACCAGCCTGCAGGCCTCCCCCTACCCCCCACATAGGAAGCCTAACCAGGAATTTCACACTTCACCAGAGGCTGTCAGGTTCCCCCACACGCCCACAGCTTCAGCCTCCAGTGCCTTTATTTATTTACTTTAAGATTTTATTTATTTATTTGACAGAGAGAGAGACACAGCGAGGGAGGGAACACAAGCAGGGGGAGCGGGAGAGGGAGAAGCAGGCTTCCCGCGGAGCAGGGAGCCGGATGCGGGGCTCGATCCCAGGACCCTGGGATCATGACCTGAGCCGAAGGCAGATGCTTAACGACTGAGCCACCCAGGCGCCCCCTCCAGTGCCTTTATTGACAACGGCTCCAAACCGGTCCTCCCCACAGGGTATACAGATGTCCAAAAGTTGGGCATGTGCAGTGCTCTGAGAAGCAGGAAAGAGAAATAAAAAAAACCACACGTGCTCCTTTCCTTCTGGTCCTCTGGCCCCCCGAGAGGCAGCCAGGCCCACGCTGTTCTTCCAGAACAAGCTCGGATCTCAGAGCTAGAGTCTGGGCAAGTCCCCTCCCCTCCCTGATCCTCATGGTAAAGGGAGGATCACGACAGTGATCCTGGAGGTACCTGGAGGTCTTGGAGCATGGTTTCCATCCCCCTGAGTTCACAAGGCACACCATGTCCCAGAGCAAATTCCAGAACTTCTGACGTGCCAAGCCAAAGTAAGCATGACTCCTCTGCTCAAGGGCATCAAAACAAGCACAGAAGTTGTGTGTGGCTTTTCTCCCAAGAAGAGATCAATAGCTAGCACTGTAGCCCCCGTGCGTTCCTCCCCAATCTGGTGCCCCGCTACCCACCCCAAGGGAGCACAGACCCTTTTACACTATTACTACCTATTTGTATATATCCATAAGCAAGACACATTTTTGTACTTGCATGTTCTTAAATTGTATATAAACAGTACCATACTGGCCAGATCACTTGACAACTTGCTTTTTGGGGACACAGGCATATGAGTAGAATAGCTACTTCGGTGCATTTGAGCTCCAGTGCAGTTTGCTTGAATGCATCTGTTCTCTTGGCAGACATTTATTTATGTGGATTTCATGTTCTGCTGCTTTGAACATTCTTGTAACTGTGCCCCATGCTCCCGTGTGAGAGTGCCTATAATCAAAGCAGGACTGCTAGGTGGTGGGGTCCACACACCTACATATAAGTCTCCAGAGTAGTCCTTGCACTTCACACTTTCCCCAGCAGTGTATGAAGACCCATGTCAGACTTTGTAATGTGCGCCATCTGGTGAGAGTGAAATGAGTCACAGCAGTTGTAAATGTGATTTCAAGGGAGGTTTAGCACCTTCTCATATGTTTATTGGCCATTTGGCCAATGACTGTTTCACCATTGGTCTTCTTCTAGAAAAATGTCCTTTGCCGATTTTTCTATGGGACTGTTGTGTTTTTTCTCATTGATTTCTAGTTATTTGTTGTCTTTGTGTGTTGCAGTGGTCTACTCACAGTTTGGGGCTGATCTTTATACCTTGATGATGATTTCTTATAATACAGAGTGCTTATTTTAATTTAGTCAAATTTACCAATATTTTTCCTTGACAGTTTGTGTTTTGGGAGGGCTCCTTTAAGAAATCATTGACTATGCTCAAGGTAATGATGATATTCCCCTACATTTTCTTTGAAAAGTTTTAAAATTATGCTTTTCACATGGAGATTTTCAACCTAGAACTTATTTTTATGTATAGTGTGGCCTAATTTTATCTTTTCCAAATGAAGAGAGAATTCCTAGTACCACTGAGTGAATTTTTCTCTGGTAATTTGTAATTCCATCTCTCACATAGATAAAATTCACCAATATGCATGGGTTTTGTCTGAGCTCTCTCTTCTATTGGTCTGTGTGGCTACCTTGCACCAGTACCACCAGTACCAGTTTTTAATTACGGTGACTTTATAAGTCTTGATATCTGAAAGTCCCCACACCTGGTTCTTCTTGAAAATTATGTTAGCTAAGGGGCTCCTAGGTGGCCCAGTCGGTTAAGCGTCCAACTCTTGGTTTCGTTCAGGTCATGATCCCAGGGTCCTGGGATGGAGCCCAGCATCGGGCTCC